GCACCCATCATGGTCGGCGGGGAGCAGCACTTCGAGGTTAAACAGATACTGGACGCCAGGAGGCACAAGGGACAGGTCCAGCTGCTGGTGAAGTGGAAACATTTCCCCAAGTCCCACAGTGAATGGGTAAGCAAAGCCCATGTAAAAGCACCGAACCTAGTGCGGGACTTTTACAATAGATACCCCGGGAAGCCAAAATAAAAAAGGGGGGGGTCTATTTTCAGGGGAGTGGTATGTCAGGTTCAGCCGGCACGGTGCTTCGAGGAAAGTTTGCCGCTGCGCAGCGCTAACTCCGCTACCGGCTGCTAGCTGAGGAAAAGAGGAACTGAAAGCGCGGCTGATTAATGGGCCACCTGCGCCTAGCCAAACAGGAAAACCGCAGCGGAAGCTTTGACTTTACACTGATAAGCGGCGCGAGCTAACAATGAGTGGGGCCGCGGGCAGAGAAGCGAGATCACCGCGCAATCCAGAAGCCTCGGGTTTTGCACGTAACTGGAGGAACCCAAGGGAACCAACCCACGCCAGAGGGGACTACCAATCAAGGACAATGGGACCCGGGCTGAACCTGCCATTCTGGACACTTAAGGGGGATTATTGGGCGGCTAATAATCCGCAGCGGTAACGCGATCGCAGGGCGAAAAATGCGGGAAGGGGAGAAGTATAAATGAGCAATGTAAACGTGCCAAGCCAGTCCTGGCTTTGTTTGTAACTGTTACGTTACGCATGAGTAAACCTCTTTTGTGAACCACACGTGTCACGGGAGTTTCTCTTGTCGAAAGGGGCTGTAACTGTTACGTTACGCATGAGTAAACCTCTTTTGTGAACCACACGTGTCACGGGAGTTTCTCTTGTCGAAAGGGGCAAATCTTACACCACAGACTAACATGGCTTTCCTCCTATAACGCTTTCTGTGATTTCTTTTCTTTTGTTCAAGTTATTTCTGTACATTTTGAATTAAAAGCACAGTGCTCATGTGAGATGACTGATATTATCTCTGCAGTGCTAAGATTTTTACTGTGGTAACATGACAAAGTATTAAAAATTCAAAATTAAGTAATGTCACAGTTTCATTCTGAAAGAAGTCCAAGACATGGATTTAGTGAGACTGAAATAGTATCCAGCTGCAGGTATAATAGGTTTATTTGAAGTATGACAAGAAATAAACCTCAGCACATCAGGATTTCATGAGGAAGAAGGCATAATAGGGTTGGGCAAAGCATTTGAAAGGGATGCTTTGCAAAATACCATAAGCAAAGTACCTCTCCTTGAAGCATTAAAGCAGTTGTCCCAATGCTTCAAAGGCTTTTCCCAGCATTTTTAAATGTGTGGATAGTAAATCAGATCAAAACTCTTATTACAGTCATTCACCAGTATTTTATACAACTTTATATCAAATACTCTCAGCAAAGGAGAATGAGGCTTTGTTGACTGCCCTGGTAATAGTGGCAGACTAGCAGCATGTGTTGGATAGCCTGAACAGCACTTGGACTGCAAGGACAAGTTGTTTTAAACAGAGGGGCTTTGGCAACTCTCCTATATTGACTCTTAACCCTTACAATGGCTCTTTTCTAGGCAAGAGAAACTAGCACCTGGGATATGCCATATGAGCTCTAATATGGGCTGGGATATGGCTAATCTCATTCTGATATTCAATATCTTTTTTTTCCCTCTAATAATTCTCCTAGTTTGAGTATATTCCAAGAGGAATGTTCAACTGTTGAAATGGTAAGCCACAGTGAGTACATTCCTCAATCTGACTTATTACTGTAAATATTGAAATTGCTTTGCCAAGACTAATGGAATCAGTTGTAATAGGAAAAAATGGCATTTAAGACACCATGTGAGTATTAATAACGATGCCATCACCTCCATTTTTTTGTCCTGATTCCATTCTAAGAATTATATTAAAATTGTATCTAGGTGCTTGAAAAAGTAATTGCAAAAACTATTTGTATAACATCAAGAGATGTATAATTAATAAAGGATCCCATTTGAGTGAAGGTATTTGAACCATACCATGGCTTGCATGATTCTTATCTTTTTAGGTATAGACACATTATGGCATTTGAATATCTTTTCCAAGGCCTTCATGGCTGCTCTACCAACTGCTAATCTGTGGTATATTCCTTGACTGCTTATTCCTTTACTGTTGATGGTTGTTCCTAAAAGCCAGAAGTTATCCACCACGCTGATATTTTCATTGCCAATTCTAAGGCTGGTTGTTCTACCTTTTGTCATTAGTTTTGTTGTCTTTAGATTTAATTTTACCGTGTTCTTTGACTTTTATTACTAGGGTTTGCAGATCCTTTGTATTTTTGGCTGTTAGTTGTGTCATTGGCATTATACAAGTTATTGATGTATCTTCCTCCAATTTAAAAATCAGGCTCATCTTCTTCCAATCCAGCTTCCCTTAATATATATTCAACATATAGGTTGAATAAATAAGGGAAGAGTATAGAGCCTTGCTGCACTCCTTTGCCAACTTGCAGCCAGTTTGTTTTACCATGTTCTATCCCTACTGTGGCTTCCTGACTTGTATATAAGTTTCTCATGAGGACAATGAGATGTTCTGGGATTCCCATTTTTCTGAGCACATTCCACAGCCTGATATGATCACATAATCAAAGGCCTTTCTATAATCGATAAAGCACATAGTGACTTTTTTTTGGTATTCTTTGGATTTTTCAATTATCTAGTGTGCATCAGCAATAATGTCTTATTATAATGTCCCAATGCTTCGAAGGCTTTTCCTGGAAGTTTTCATGTGTGGATAAACAGCTGCTTCAGTGACTATCACATAGAAGTGTGGCCTGTGCATGCACATACAGTGAGAGAAAGTCTTCAAAGTAGCCACAATGAGTCAGGAAGGTACTTTATTTATGCTAATGCATGTTGCAATGCCCTTTTCAAATGTTTTGCAAAGTCAAATTATGGATGTTTCATTATGCCTTTAGTTCCCAGATCTTCAGATCCTGGGTTTGCTTTGTACAAACCTAATGCATCAATTTTGAAGTCAAGTTGCACCCAGGTTGGTAAATTTTCTCAGCAACAGCATGAACGTGGTTTGCCATTGCTTTTTTTCAAATGTCCATCCTAGCTTCCCAGAACTTCCCAGATGGTTCTGCATCCAAGGACTAGCCAAACTCAGGTGGGTGCTACCTGTCAGATTCAGCCGGCATGGCACAGCAGGGCGAAAGCACAGCTTGGCTTTGCCTAGCCAATTTCACCGCCCAGGTGCTAGCAGAGAAAAAGGGGAAGTGAAACCGCGAACTGATTACTGGCAGGTGGCGGCGCTTAACTCAAACCGCAAGCGGGTACTTTGCATCAAAGCTGGCTTCCCTCGAGCGCTGGAGACAAAGGAACGTGCAGAGACTCTGAAGCGAAGCAATCAACGAGCGATTGAGAACTCCTGGCTTTGCGCGCAACCAGGGAAACCAACAAAGACAACAACAGCACAACCCATAGACAGCAATCAGAAAGACAAAGCACCAGGCTGAATCTACCATTTGGGCGAGGGGGGATTACTGCGGGTAATCTGTAACTAAGCAACGGGGAAAAGCGCGGGAACGGGGAAGCTATAAAAAAAATTGTAAGATGTGCCAAGCCAATCCTGGCTTTGTCTGTACTTACGTTACGCTTGAGTAAACTTCTTTGCTGCACACATGTGTCACGAGAGTTCCTCTGAGATGAACGGGGTAACACTACCAACCTGATTGATAATGGAAAAAATGTGGAGTCCTTGGGGTTCTCTGAGCTTGGTTGTTTTCCTGCAAATGTTTCGTTACCCGGCTAGGTAACATCTTCTGTGCTAGAATGGAGTGTACATCAGAAATGTCCCAGAAACAACCAAGAGACTATTATAACCAGATGGCATCTCTGTAGCACACAAACCAACTAAAGCCCTCCAAAACATCTTAAGTAAACCAAAAGACCCAGTATCCCAAGAAGAAAAAGCAGGAGTCATCTACAACATACAACGAAAGGACTGTAATAACCACTATGTAGGACAGACAGGCAGAAGGCTAGCAGAGCGCATCCATGA